ATCAGCTGTAAGCAGGAGGTGCAGCAGGGCCGTCACAAACCACACACACACACACACACACACACACACACACACACACACACACACACACACACACACCTCGTTTAATTAGTCGAGCTGGTTCCTACGTGCCTGAGCAACATTTCAGTTGTTATTAACAAGCAATGCTTCATTTGTTTACTTTTTCATCTTCTCTACAAATTCAAGGGATTGCTTTTTCCTAATGGACACATAAGCTGTGTGTGGCAAAATAACTTTTTGTGCAGGCTTTTATCAGTAATTTTTTTTTATTTTTCTCTCGCCAGCTCCAGGATTGTTGAAATCGGATCTGATAGTTTAGCAAACAGATGTCAGTTGCTCTGAAAAATATTGCACTTCAATGCAAATTTTAAAAGTTGCAATCATAAAAGTAAAACRTGGAAAGAAAGAACAACACTCACCAAAATGCTTGAGTTGCTGCAGTCTTAAGGTGCTTTTGGACTGCAGGAGACCAGTTCACAGTCCTCATTACCATTGGACTTGTGTCAGTCGTGTTTGTTTTTACACTGATGCTACTCTGACCATTTGAAATCCTTAAAACAATATTTATCCAGTCATTTTAAGCTCCTACATCAAATTAGGCTGTTTTTGGTTCAACAGGGAGCTGTGATTGGCCCATATATGCATGTGGATTAAATTAAATGCTCTTCCAACACTATAAAAACTGTTTTTGCATTGGTGAAGTGGAAGCTATTTGATTTCCATTGTAGTTTTGAAAGTGTGCTTCACAAAGCATCAATTTTTTGTGTTTTGGTTCCCATAACCCCTTCTTCTATTAGTTGTACTATTTAAAAATACAAAACTAAGGTAACTTTTATTGTTACTAATAGTAAAATGTTTAACTGCTGTGCCATCACTGTGTTCCCCTGATGATGATGATRCCTTTATTGTCTTTGTACGGAGCACAATGAAATTACATTACAAAGCAAACACAAAGGTCTGTATAATTACCTCATAGTGGGACCAACTTCACTTGCTAACCTACAGGTAACACCCACTTGTATTATAACCTATGTTAGTGATTGTCAAGTTCTATATAAAATGATAGATATACTGTAATAGCATTTTTAGTGTGGCAAGTATCATGTTTGGTGGTGAAGCTGAATCCAAGGTGCAGTYAAATAACTGATTTATTTGTAAAAGAAACAAGCTGATTTGGCAACAACAGTACTCACAGGTTACTCAGAGGATAACATGAGTGAGCATCTCTGGAGGACAAACATGACTTGTACAAAAATACAATGCACAAACGGGGAACTACAGCAGGACACAGAATAGAAAAAAACACTAACGAGGGAGAAATGACAAACACCTGGAGAGAGACAAGGATCAGGTGACACTGGGYGGGGCCGGAACTGACGAATTTGCTTAAAGTGAGACTGAGACGCTTGATAAATGACTTTTAGGCTCAGCTTTTAGCTTAGAAATTTTTTTTACACTTAACAGCATTCTTCAGAGTAATTCTTAGAAGTTTGATAAATACAGACCCAGTTTTATAAACAGCCACTAACTTACCTATAAAGACTCAAAACACTCAGTTTGAAAAATTACAGCAAAAAATTTGTGGAAGTGTCAAGTTAAGAGCTTGTCAGGCAGATTTTACTCATCTAAAACAACTCAAATCTCAAACATTTTATAGTGATTAACTCAAACATTATTTAACAAACCTTAAAGTGCCTGTGACATGTCTATCCTATAGAGAAAAAAACAAAACAAAGAAAACAGTTTTGTATTTGTGAAACAGGAAGTGACATCTTTACATCTTTAGCCTTGTCTTTGTTTATTGAAACAAAATTATTTGAACTCTGACTCTTCTTCATTTTTTTGATAGTGATTCAAAAAATCTCTAGATYCTTCTTTACAGTCTTTGTCAGCAGTGCTGTGCATATTCAGACATTCCCCTTTGACATCACTTCCTGTTACTTCACATGCGAATATCTCAAAAACTGTCAATCTCAACAGCATGCCTTTTTTGGCAATATATTATCAATGTCATCTAAAAATGCATTCATATTCATTACAAAAAATGATGTCACAGGCATTTTAACAATGTGTTACCTTTACATCAGAGAGTTTGTTACATAGCTGTTTATTAACTCTGAAACATACTGCAAAACATAACACCTTACAGTCAAAAAATAGCCCTTTGGTACAAGGAATGTGGAGTTCAAATTTATGAAATTGCATTTACTTGATTTTTTATGTTTGAGCTGTTTGACAAGTAGTTGACATCAATGAAAACACTTACTATACCTGAGTCACTGCAAAGCTTCAATCCCTGTCTCTTGCATGGAAAACTACTGAACTATCGCTTTTAAAAAAATTACACATCCATTCTTCAGATTTATTGTATCCTGGCTTGGAGTTAACATTCCAGATTTATGTTCTTTTTTTAACTGAAAAAGGAGTCCAAGACCAAAAGTATGAAGTGCTTTAATACATGCTTATATTCAGCCACTCCCGGGAACAGAAATGCCGAGAGCCGATCCTTCCCTCTACGGGAATATAGGATTCACCTGCCTCAGACACCAGCTGCTAACAGTGTGTGTGTGTGTGTGTGTGTGTGTGTGTGTGTGTGTGTGTGTGTGTGTGTGTGTGGGTGTGTGTGAGCACGTGTGTGTGTGTTGGTTGCCTGTGGTGTAAGAGTCCATGCAGGCTGTGAAGGAAGGACAGAGGGGGGAAAAAGAGAGGGAAGGAGTAGTGTTCGATAGAGGTTAGTGTTTATCGATTGAGCCCTGAAGCTCCGGTCAACGGACAGACTCCCTCGAGACTGCTTCATCTTTCTCTCTCAGCCTCCCTCCCCCTCCCCCTCCCCCCAAGCCGCTTGCCTCCTCTCGCTAGTCTCCACCCTCCATAGTCCAGCTTTCTTCTTCGTCTTCTTCACGCCAGATAATTTTTGCCCTTTCTGCGCGATGACTCAGCTGGGTTTCATATTCGCACGGCCGCTGAATATTTCAGTGTTTGCCGTCAAAACTGTGCAGACCTGCCTCTTAGTGCCTCATCAAAGATACAAGACAATGAGAGGCAGTGGGAGGACTGTGAAACAGTGAATGAACCAACCAGAGATTTGAGTGAAAACACAAAGAACTGAGGAAAAGGAGGGGTGTGTGGCAGCAAATATTACTCTCRAGAGAGAAGTAACGGATGATCAGGTGGATTGTGATGTGTTTATGTTTGATCAAATTTTAGTTCTCAAACCTCTGTTTTTTTTCTTCCCAGGCCTGGACTGAATTTACTGAAGGAAAAAACCAGGAGTGCACTGTCCAATCACAACTTCAGCAGCCTCAGCGTCACAGAAGTGAGTTTACCTTCGTGCGCTCAAACAAACTCAAATATTTTTGTCCCAACCAGAACTGCTCTAAGTGGATAGAAGCTGAGCCTGGCTGCTAACGTCCATGCTTCCTTCTAACTCTGATTTATTTGTCCTGATTGGTGCACGCCCACTCGTACTATAAGATTTTTTAAATAATTTTCTGCAATTTCTTCAATTAGAACAAAGAAATGAGTCAACGACAAGGAATTTGTTCGCAGATAAAAGCTTGCTGCAACCACAAAGGCCGCCCCAGTGTTCTGAGCTCCAGGCTGGCCAGGCGGATGACCCAGCTGAAGCAGAAGGCTGCAGCCCAGCGTGGCGCACCGTCAGCAGGCGCATTGCACAGCAGCGAGGAAGACCCCTCCAAAATTCACTGCAGACAAGAAGGAAAAAGTGAGAACAGGGAAAACTTAGGCACACAGAAATTTGTCATCTAATACATAGCATCCCCAAAACTGACTAGCCCCCTTTGTTGTTAATCCATCAGGCCTGCAGCAGGAACTGGCAGACACTCAGACCGTGAAGAGGAAGAGAGGTCGAAAGCCCAAAGTGCTGATGAGTATCAACCCTAACAGATCACTTCACAAGGACGGCCGAGGCCCTGACAAACACAAAAGAAGAGGAGAGAAAAGTTGCAGCGAAACTTCGGAGCACGGTGAGCCACTGTTTGGGTCACACACAAAGTTCTCCCTGTTGTGTGATCCTGTGTAATCTGGTGCATATCAGAGCTAATAACCCTAAAATAAGAGAAATGATAGACAGACCCGAAAACTGGAAAACAAATTTTGCAAATAAATTTCATCTTAACTGGTCAGGCTTCACAAGCAGTTAATCCTTTAAGTCAAGCTTTGCTACTTTGCCTGAGGGCTTGATAAACATTGACCATGCAGTGCGAGATTTCACTCTTAAGAGTGCCAAATCGTGCGTGCATGTGCACGCGAAACATCTGAAAGTGAGATGTCTGCCATCATCGGGGGCCTCCGCTCACAGCTCGTCTGTCACAGTGTTAAAACCGTTAACGACTTGCCACAGGCATGCAGTACGGACACCCCCGTGGCCCCCATAGGCCCACTGTAATGTGAGCCCGCCCTGGACCCATCCAGAATGTCACAGCCCGATACTTTTCCACATCTCCAACCCTTGTGAAAATGCCCTTAGATAAGACTGTGAGTTGACAAAACTATCCTGACATTTACAAAACCACCAGAACTTCCACAGAACTCTGTAATTTGTTCCATCTCATGGCCTCGGTGGCGTGGATAGGTAACGGTGGAGGATATGTCTGTGCTACTGAAGCAAAGTGTTGACGAGAATGTCATGTAAGTGACAAGATGTGTCGACACCCAGGCCCTAGAGTCAGCAACACRCAGCTGCCAATAGCAGTCTGTGTTTGCATGTAATGCTGCACATGTTCATCAACATTTGCTTCTGCAGTTAAGGATTAGCCTCTACAGGATCATGAGTCCTGTTTGCTCTGAGTCAGGAATACTGTATATGCCAAAAGTCTTTAGTTTTAAAACCTCCAGGACATTTCTGCTATTTTATGGTTGTTGTGCAATTGTAGCCACTGGCTTATGAGATGTTTTACAGATGCAAAGGAAGCTTGAAAAGCTTTGCTGTCAATACATCTCATCAAGCGAGCCACTGTTAATAGTGTTTACACGTGAATCACTTGAAGCAATCTGACTGATCACACTGATGTTGGGGATTTCACAGAGGAGGAGGTTGGCAGCTACGACAGCGACGACGGAACAGGTGACATCAAGATTAGCTCATCCTCTAAAGAAGCGTCTGCAAACCCTGCTGGGACTTTGTCCTTTTCATCTCAGTCCTCCAAGCTCCAAGCAAACCAAAAAGTCAAGAATAAGAGACCAGAACCTCTAGGTGAGATATTTTATGCATGTCTTTAAAGTTGCCTCAAATTTATAAATAACCAAAGCTTTGGTGATTTTTTTATCCCTCTTTTTAACTTGTTTTAAAAGACTGAATGATTGAATGTTTTCAGAAATTCTGTGTTACTCATATTTTTGTAGTCTTTCGCATTTATGATGCCTCTTATTGTGTTGATCTTAGTATTACAGTATTGTTTCTTCCCCTTCAGGCCTGGGAAGCTTGGCCTGCATCGAGCAGAGAAGAGCACCCAAGAGGCCGAACCATGCCAACATGGAAAGGGGACGTCCAGACCACCCAGGGGCTGCCAGAGCTTCYCTGCCCAGCTGGGGCATGTTGCCAGTGGGCTCCAACTTTGGGGACAGCCATGGAAACCCCCGAGCTCTGATGGAGGCAAAGCGAATTGGCAGTGAGAGGAGGATCTCTACAGGACAGGGCTTTCGTGGAAAGGTAAGACATATACTGGGTCACCCTTTCAAGAAATGGTATGGCACAAATCGTCTCAGATTGTTAAAAAACATTTTTTTCGCTGAGTTTTGATTTGCTATGTGACTAGTTATTAACACTGAATCAAGATGTCGGCGGTGGCGGCAGATGTATGTAGCTGTGCAGTATCGCTGCAGGAAAATACATCCCATTTGGCTTTACAGGCATCTGCAGGTCTGTTTTTGACAAATTTACCTCCGGGACGTAGTGACTAATCTAACAAGTGAGGCGTACCAGCTTCCCTGTTGCCTATTTGGATCAATATCAGCAGTGCCCTGTTTTTCGGT